CCACTAGAAACCCAAATAGATTCTCCCGAAACACAGTGCGACGACCATCAGATACATGTTAAGCTCTCTGCCCATCCATAGGCAAAACCGCCGCCGATGTTGCTCTCGATAGAAGTGTTGATGGGCGCCATCGGCAAGTCCCGTTGGTGCTCGCCTGTCTTGATGTTGTGATACCTGATTATCAAACGGTTTCACTGATGAACAATACAGAAGACGTCCTACACTTTAATCTCATTCTCATCTTCAAATGACAGCCAAGGGCTCATCGAAATCGCCAAATTTCTCGCTGCATTAGAACCGATGGTGACCGCAGTGGGGGAGATTGATCCGAATGCAAACGCCGAAGAGGCAGGGATCGTATGCTTGCTCAATGAGAAAGAACGGAGAACTGATAACGAGGAACGTGCCTACCATCAACGGCTATTGCAAACTGACCTATTGGGACGTGGGTTCTCCGACCACCTCTAACGTGTATCTGAGCCATCACTCGTTAACCCACTTGGGGAGCCTGCGACCAACCTGCTCGAAACATGAATAGCAGAAAGCATCCTGGCATTGAACACAGTGTAGTTGCGCCAATGAAGATTCACAGTCTGTGCAGACACCCAATTCCACCCAAGTTCCTGGCGAGGACGGCTCTACATACATGCACTATCACCAATGTGTTACTCTTGTGGAATTGCCGCTGCCCTTTCGAGTGAAGCTTATCAAAGCACGGTTGACAGAGCATATCTTCACAGTCGTCACAGTAGATCACCTAAACAGCGACTATGTGTCTCTAGCGAATTGCAGAGGCCCACCGCGGGTTCCTTGCTGTCTTCACGGCACTCCACGCATTGACGCAAGGCGGCGACCTGTTCACCCTCTAACTCCTGGGCCTTTTCGAACTGCTTCACGACGTCTCGGTATCTAAGGCCGCTATCGCTGACACACAACTGGAGTTCCTCCGTCAAAAATGGTCAATGCGAAATGAAATGAGACAAGATCCCAAGAAGGAGCCACTTCGAAGCTCCAACTGTTGCGGAAGGTGAGGTATTGTATGGTCAAGACTGTTCGTACGACTACCCCACGGAGATCCCGAGACAGGATATATGCTCGCTTTGCTCAACGGAGTTCAGGATTCTCTCCAATGTAGAAGTTCACATACGAATTCGAGTAGAAGTGTACAGAAACCAACGAAATCTCCTAAAATTTCCGTGGAATTTCCACACTGTCATCATCATATTCTCCCTGCACCGTCCCGCGATAGGGTAGAGACAATAGACAACCACAAGGCAACAAATGTCCGCCCGACCTTTGCATCAGATTCCTAAATTCCTCAACGCCTGCGACCACCTGTTTCGACCGGACCACGCTAGCATAATGACGCAATGCCCGCTTGAGGACGTGTACGAGGTAAGGCTCTTCTCTGGAAAGTTAATCGTTATGAATTTGCCTAGGAGGACCTTCCTACTTGATGTCGACTTTGAAGATTCGGGCAAGCTCAATTACGTTAGTGACAGTTTCGATGGGGACGTTGAAGTCACTCTCGCCGTGTCCGTTCAGGTTGAACAGCTGATACGAAAATAACAGGAGGACGCTCAGCGGGAGATCTTTCACCTCGCAGAATAAAAATTCGATTTGGAAGCTCATAATAGTTCTCCAATGCGGCAATGGTCGTTGCAGACGAGCCGCGTTGAGCATCTTACTGTATCTGTGGAAAACCTTCACGAAAACGACGAGGCGTTAGTAGTGTGGGAGGAATATATTTTTCTATTCCTCAGCTGAGCTCATTTCCAGGAGTTACAAACGAATCTGGGTAAGCGTGCACAGAGACCAACAAAAAATTCTAAAAATTTCGTCACTGATACCAACACATGTTGTTGACCATGTGCGTATGTTCCCATACTTCTCATAATGCGGGTGAATCCTCGTCTCCTTCTGCGTGGTAGTGTTGACCCAATGAACTCTTCCTGCATCGATGAACCTAGCTCTTGCATGGAAGAGAAATACTAAAATGACGTACTGATGGAAATTGACAGGCAAGGACTCATTCATGAACTCGTTGGCTATCCAAACAAGTTGCTCATCTGCCCTCGGTTCGAGGCCCTGAGAGTACTGATGACACTTGATTGACTGTGAATGTAACTACCAGGCATCGTTGATAGTCCTCGAGACTGGGCTTCTCCGAGTGTTGACAGTACAACATGCCGTCTATGTGCTTACTGGTATTGTCTTTTCTCATCACTAAAGTAGTGGTAGTGAAATCAGCAGAACCATGAGAGTAGTAGCAACAACACCTCGATCGAGTTCAAGCTGCACAGCATCTTCTGTGAATCCAAAGATATGCCATGGACCTCGAACGGACCTAAAACGTATCTTCACCGATGAACCTCAAGATTCCTCATCTACACTTTCATATTTTTCTCAACGTCTTCATCAAGTGCCTTACAGGGGAAACACGTCTCCCACAAAAAGAGCTTCTCGACCCACCGTTAGCAGCTGATCCCAAAGCTGAGTAATATTAGAGTTCCAACCGAACGAAATTGAATCATCATTTGACGACTTTGAAAAATATTCAAGTCGAAACTCCGGGCCGTAGGAGCCCTGATAGAGCCTTCCTCACGAGAATGCTGCTATCTTTATTCTTCACCTGTCTGGTTACCACAACAACTTCACCATCTCCCAGTTTAAGAATCGCCTTGTAATTGACAGGAATGTGGTATTTGCCCTCAAGTTTATATCTACATCTTACTCGAGCGATGAACAGATCAGCCACTACTCACTCGGTTAAGTGTGGCCCCGAATACTTCTGCCCCAACGAGACGATCAAAAGTGGAGCTCCCTGATCGCGAGGACGAGTGCGAGTTGGCGAATAATCGCTGAAATGCCACTCCTCTTATGATGAGTTGTCCTTCTCGGTCTCTACGGAATTTATGCAACTCCTCAGCCGCTGAAACTGTCCGTTTCTCTTTCATTGGAGGAGGCATCCTTGCGAGCTAATGACGATACTATAATCACTGAATGACGCTTTATAAGACGTTATTCCTTTCCTCATGGTATCTTCATTTTAACCACCTGTGTTCAGTGGTACTGAATAAATTTCCTACTCCATGATTAGAGATTCTAATACCCCCAATTTGGAAGGATATGTATTACGAATCGTTTATATGACAGTTTGTGATATACTTATTATTCCCATGGTCCGTTGCTGCTTCACCCCAAGACCTTCTTCAATTAACACGTATAACTCGAAAGAAATATACACGTTTAGTAAAGTGTTGTGATAAACACCATGTTGTTGTTATGTTCTTTACACGAGTGCTTGTCCACGACTATGAGAAATCGAGAATGGCTTTTCCCAGTTTCAAACTCACTGACACACAACACCATTAGTATATCAACAAGTTGTTATCGCCATGTCAATGATGAAGTTGTCGAAGTAGCTTTGGGAGCAAAAGCAAGATGGGGAATACGCAGCTCTGCGGGGGTCTCTGAGAAGACACTGAGCATATTCACAGTCCGTGAACAACTAATGTGGAAAGATATGAACATGGACAATTACGCGTGATGGTCACAATATGAAAATTCTGAGGAAATTTCGAAGAAATTCTCATTGGTTTTGTACACTTATACCCCAATTCATACTCTGAGCTCAGGTGAGGAAACCAAACATATATATTTCCACGCTGCGGTGAACTGCCACAGAACTCACCTGTGGACCGAGATTCTCTGTTTATTGATTCCCTCACACTAACACCGCTAAGGCGGCTCGTGAAAGGTCGAAAGTCATGACATTTCTCGTTAATGGAATCCAGTCGGGGCATCTAACATGAACACTATCATCGTCACCATCATCAACTGTTGGAATATATCTTCAGTTTCCTCAGCTGAGGCAGAATATTTTCTCAGTTTTATACCGTTTCGGGTAGAAGGGTGCAGAAATCCATGAAAATTTCTCAAAATTTTCATATGTAATTAACCATTTTCCCACACTGTTCTCATCATCTGGTACACATCTCACCCTAGAGAGTTCCTTCTTCTGCTTCTTATGCAACGCTGCTAGTCGTCGATCAGCCCGTCTCTGGAGAGCTGTCAATTCCCTCCGTTTCTCCTCCATCACTTTTCTCCGCATCCCCTCGACGCTCTTCTCAACAGCAACACGTTCTTCCTTTTGGCGGTCCACAAACTGAAGACATTGATATCATCAATCAGCAATGGAAATGATAACAGCAAAAACCACATATTTCAAGTCACTAAAATCCTAGAGTTTCACCCGTTTAACGTGAAATGCTGTAATACTCCATACAAAGTATAAGGTATATATGTTTACACGAACTTGTTGCCGCGAAGTAAATTTTGAAATACGTTTTTTATATCACGGGTGAAACTCTACTGTGCCGTATATTTTTCAAGGTCATCTTCACAACGTATTGGAATAGTCCTCGCTGTTAGTAACAAAAACCTTACCTCAGTCGTTAATTTCGCCAGCTTCCTTCTCCTCAAGTCCTCCTGCCTCCCTATACACTCCACCTCCTCCTTCTCCACCACAGCCATCACCTCACACGCCTTTTCATCTTCGCCGTGCAATGCGAAGAACCTCGAAAGCGGTCCAGTGAGTTCCCTTCCTAAACGGGCTCTCACCTAGCTTTCGAGGTCAGGTCCAGAATTCTCTTAGGGACAATAAATCGATCTCTCCCTTTTCTTAATTCACGTACGTACCGCTCCTCCGCCAAATCCTGCCTCTCAACCAGAGCCACTCTGATCCCCTCAATGCTGTTCTCGAGCTGAGGCAACCTCATTTCTTGCCACCTACCATAAAAACTGATGATAATCACACACACAACGCTTCGCTCACTGGTGATAGCATTCTTCCTTTTCCTGTCGTAGCTCCTCCTCGAGAGCCCTCAGTTCTTCAGCGTGGCGTCGCTCCGTCTCCTCCCATCTAATTTTCGCTTGCTCTTTCTTCAACTGCCGTAAATGCTCTGCCGCTTCCCATGCCTCTTCCGAATGCCCATCACGATGGCATTGCTGACAGTAACGAACAACGTGAGGTGGATGTTCCACTCAACAACTAGAGTAAAGTGAAATATACAAGAAAAGGTAGTTATACACAGACAAAGTAGTAGCAGTAAATGTAGCTATTTCTAACAAGAAATACGAACCTTTCTGGAAGGCCCTCTCGATTCTGCTAATACATGACGTATTGGTGACTCGCAAGGAACGAAAGCGAACAGTTGAAAGTTACTAATAATGTATTAGGAGCGTGCAAATGTCAATCTCACCTTAGTGTAGATCTCCAACACCCGCATGGTACAATCTCGCATATTTTCTCCCCAGCTGTCCATCGACTTCCACCCACACGTAGACACCCAACGCGACGATGTAGTCGTTCTGAAAACTCCCTCATGCACCCCATACATAGAGAGAGATCGTCTCACTGTAATGAATTCTCCTCAGAACTATCGTTGCGGCTTGAACTCGCTCTTCTGTTAGTTAGCGGTGGTAATGTAGACCTATTTTGCATCTATCTACACAAATGGACAAAGCATGTCGAAATACTATGGAAATATGTGAACTGAAAAAGGTAGTGTTGGATCTCAGGACGATTTGCGAGAAATACGAAAACCATCTATGCGATTGAACAAGAAAATCCTCTTTCCAAAAATTCGCCAGCAACAGAGACTTCACGGCTTCGACCAGAACTACAGGGAAAAGTATTTTCAAAACTTCATCGACAATTTCTCCGAGCACAGTTTCAGGAACTCCGTGTAGACTCTCATCTGGACCCTTGGCGGCCCATCGGTAGTTGTTGTAAGGAAATGAGATGTTGGTAAATGGTCGATGTGTTTATGAAGATGATGCGCATCTCCTTGTTGTGTGTTAGGCCCCTCACGATTCGCCAAAGTTGATAACTAGGCAGGAGAAGCTCTATGATCAAGGAGAGATGGTATTTATTATTACTAGAAATAAGAACGACAATACTGTGTGCTACTGTCCTACGAGCTACGTTTCGTGCTAGCAGCCTCCCACTCTAATTAACGACTCTAGACCCCATCATAGTAATGATAATATGGCGTTGCCAGGCCGGCTACTGTACATGCTTCAGTGATGATGATGATAGTGTACATGGACAATGAACGGATCGAATGATGGAAAGCGGCAGGAAGGAAGTTTCATCGATTTTCAACCAGTGTTATCGGTTGTTCTCTATAAAGGGGTGTTGGAGGAGCTCAGCGCAAGTCGGTCGAGCTTCGGGGTCTCTTTGTACAGCTTCTGGGAAAAACAAACAACAGTAGAAAACTAGTAAGTAAGGGATTTACTCTGAATGAAATCCAAACACGAGGACGAACACTGTGCTAAGACCTCGGCAGGAATGTAGTGCATAGGAGTCTTGTCACGCGCTGTCCATATCTCGTGCATCGCTTGTATCTTAGGTTCCCCACAGAAAGATACGAATTAGGTCCGAAACAAGTCACCTCGTTATCAAACTCCTTCCAAGGGTCTCGACCACATACCATCTCGATGAGCAGGCAACCAATTGACCATACGTCAACCTAAGAATACAATCACTATATTCAAGTATAGAGAAATATGCAATTCTGACAGTAGGAGGAAATCCTTGTTGGTTTTTTGCACATTTCTACCCGAATTCACATGTAAACTTCTACAATTGAGGAAACTACTGAGCTCAGCTGAGGCAAGCGAGCATATATTCGTGGTACGCAGTAGTCGTAAAATACGTTTTTTAACTCTGTTTTTCATAGCACGAATAAAACTCCATTAGTATTCATATATAGTGTTTTCTAAATATGGTATATAAGAGATCAACTATATAATAATTATACACAGTAGTTGAGACAACTCCTGAGCTCAGCTGAGGCAAGCGACCGAATATTCCTCCAACACTGTATTCGCTCGCAAGTTGACAGTATGGGAAAATATTCAATTTTATGGTAGGATGAACTCAAATTCCGTACACTTCCGAGTTTGTATGTACTCTTATACAGTTAGTATATATTAATTGTATAGGAATTGCGATGAAGTTTCACAACCCGTTTTACGTGAAGTGGCGTAAAACTCGGTGAAAAACGCTATGCAGTAGTCGTAAAATATGTTTTTCATTAGTGTTTTTCATATCACGGCCGCCCGTGAAACTCCAATTATCAAATACAAATATATTTCTATACAATGCGTAAACTGTATGTATGTTCTCTCCTACAATGAGTGAGGAAACTCCCGAGCTCAGCCGAGGAAAGCGAACATATATTGTGCCTCCAACACTGCCCCTCCGTTCACCTTTGCCGAGTATTCGCTGCCTCCCAAGGTTTCTGGTGCCATCCACAACAGAGTCCCCTTCATGGACTTCTAAACAACAGCAACATCATCTACACGCATGCACAACACGAAGATCCTCACAAAGAAGAATTGCGGGTCAGCATATCTTCGCTCCGCTGAATTCGCTTGCAACACTTCCGACGTTGACAACGACGACTCCATAACAACACCGCTCTGTCCCTCAGCCTCTCCCTCTCTCGTGAATGTAGACTCTAGCGGAGCGAAGCCAATAACCTAAAAATTCCAAAATCGAGAAAGATGTCATGATATCTCCGCTCGCCTTGTCGCAATCGTTCATTATCGCACAACAGTCAGGTGGTATGTCAGCAGTGAGATCAATGGAAGCGTTGAGTTTCTCTCCACCTGCAGCCAGCGGTGTACCGGCAATACTAAACGGCCTGAGAAGTGCTCATGTGATGGTATGGCTGGAAAAAATGGGCACCCACCGAGGACGAGTACAGCTGCCGAAATCACATAACTTCACCGTTCGTCGATCTGCTGATAGCAAGCAGTTGCTTCCCTGCCACAGAGACTAATACCACACGCACTTCAACCTAACCCTAATATGAAGCTCATCACTACTCTGAAACCTATAATGTTCCCGGGGGGGACTCATTTTCAATTTTCCACGTATGGCGATGAGTTTCCCATGTAAATGACATCACATTGGTAACGTTTTCCCCATTGCCCTGAAACCCTGAGGGACGTTCTTTCTCAAAGCTATATGGGTCCCTGCTCATCATCACCGTGGATAAATGATAACGATAAAGAATTGGAGATTTTTGTATCGTGTTCGTGTGAGTTGTCTCCTCGTCCCTTTGGGCCTAGACTCTCAAGACTATTACTAATATAAAAAGTAAATTTCCTCTAAAACGGCCGGCTCTCCAGAGGAGATCGTGTAAGAGCAGCGACCCTCAACTTCGCTGTATAACGCTAGGAAGAACGCCACCCCGGAGAGTTCCCAGAAGATTCCTTCCCTCACTTTAACATCTCTGTGCATGATCGGTGTGATAAGCTGACCCCTATCTTCGAGGGCCAATACCATCCCTTCCCGAGATCCCATCAGCCCTCCCGAACCGTGATGCAGGGCCTGCAATGTCCGCAACACTTTTCGAAGATACCTATACCACGCTTTCGCCACATTCCCGATCTGCCACAGTGCTACTAACCTCGCAGCCTGTCGCTCTGGGAGCCTTTTTGATGGTGATGATGGTGCCAACGACGCCAGTGTGCCTCCCCCGAGGTATCTATAACGATTTCCTCGACAACATATACTTTTTAATCAGCCGCCTCGGCAAGTGCCATTGGTTGAACAGGGAGTAATATTCGCGTTTTACGCGAAGTGGAGTAAAACTCGGTGAAAAACGGTATGCAGTAGTCGTGAAATATGTTTTTCACTAGTGTTTTTCATATCACCGGCCGTGAAACTCCATTAATAGTCTCGGCAATTCATCGAAAACATGAGTAAAATGTCAACGAAGAAGTTGCCGAAGAAAAATTGTGTACTAGTGTAAACTTACTAATAAGTTCCGAAGCGCAAACTATCAACACACTCAACAAGATGAATAAACTATTGTCAATGACAGAAAAAATTTTACCTGGAAATTCTGGAGCAGCATACCACAAGGCCAACCCGTATGCCGAACACTTACTCCATATAAATGTAAAACTTGTCGGCGATAATCTCGCAGCCAAAGAACTCCACAACTCCTTCAATGTGGCGAGCTCTGGAGAGAACAATAGCCTCGTTTCCTGAGTCAACAACAGCCGTCGCCTCCCACTCTCGTTTTCCGAAGCCTCTACGCATATCACGGGACAGGTCGCTCCACAGTAGATCCTTTCCGGGCAGTGGAACTTCTTTCGCCACGAATAGAAAACCATCGACCTAAGGGAACTTTCAAGGCCGAAAAGTATAAATAAACCTACGGATCTCTTGGCAAGGTACACAGTTGCTGCTGTGCCCGATCCGAGCGCCTTTCCCCGTACCCAGCCACCCTGCACCATCGTGGGCATACGAGACTTCACAGATTCTCCCTATCACGAAACATACCCCAGGATCGACCTCGAATGATCTTACTTTTTTCAAGTTAATCACATCTACCACCCCAGCAGATGAGGAGAGACTTTCCATCAACACCTGAGGTGTCGAATAAATGCCATAATTCTCGATGGACGGTGTTCACTACTTTCCTCTTAGCTAGCTCTTCAGCGTGTTGATGTTCGTATACAGCCCTCCTGAACTGCTGTACAACGCGGCCTTTCCTCTCCTTCCTCGCCTCTCGTCTCGGTCTGTCGCCGCCCCTTTTGGCAGTCTTCCCCCCCACCTCCCAAACGTGGAAGTGGCGCCCTGTGGGGCTCCTTGCCCTAGCAGCCGCCTGGGCCTCATCACAGTCGCTGTTCTCGGTGTCGGTGGGAGACTCCCCGAGCCAGCTCATCTGATCATCACCAAATTCGGCCCAAGCGAGGGGCACATCAACTCACGTCCTTCTCGGCGAGTATAACAGTAGCGTCAAGCCCCTCCTTGCTCAATCGCGACAGTCGAAGATGCCCACCAGTATCATCGAGACTAACCAACGGAATAATTCACCCCGACATAATCGTTACCATCCAACCTGAACATCTCCGCTTGCTTTTTGCTCGTCGGTGGCAGTGGCGTAGCAGTAGCATCATCGTCCTCCTCCAAAGAGGTATCAATACACAAGCCAGGGGCCAACGAGGGACCCTCTACCCCCCGCCCTACTGCTCGCCTTCTCCTCGTCAATTGATGCCCTTCCCCCGGCGAACGGAACATCACCTAAGTAAGTTTCCCATCAGTGAATCAATAACACCAGTTTAGGAAAATATGTACATGGTCAACCACATGCCTTGAAAATTCTTAGGAAATTTTCAATCACCCGAATTTGTGAACAAACTCCTAAAATTAGTGAGGAAAAAAAATTGTCAGTAACCCGAATTCGTATACAAGCTCCTAAAATTATGGAGCAAACTCCCAAGCTCAGCTGAGGAAAGCGAGCATATATTCACAATCTCTCACCGCGGAGTCCGATACCCCTTCGTCGTCCCGTTTCGCTGGACTCTGGACGAACCGAGCTTCCGGTCCTAACTCGATCACCCCCGACACATGTACCTAATCGCTCCACAATACATCCCTTCAATTGGCGCTCTTCACCTCGGCTGGAGGCGGGTGCTTTGAGGAGGGTGACGGGCTCAGCGACATTTTCGGTGGGGATAACCGTTCGGAAGTGCCCTGGGAAAAGTCTGCTCTTATCCCGTGAGTTCCGGTTTACCTCGGTGTTATGGTTCGATCGAGAGCCTTTGAAATGCTCATCATCATCATCTTCAACGATCGTGTCCACTGTGGAGGGCACAGGGCGAGAGTTGACCCCAATACTAGGCGGCCTGCCCCAAGACTAGCTCCCTAAGGCAACCCTGTATAACCGTTCATCACCTCTCAACAGGGGTCCATACAGTCCCATGCCCCGACTTAGGGGTCATCATCCACCCCACAGCGGGAGTATCCAGGACTAGATACGGTGGACTAGTACAAGGCAGACTCCCCAAGTCTAATGGTGGCAACTCTCGCGGCAACACTCGGGGGGCGCCCGTCATCGGAGATGCTAAATGAGAAGTGCCCAAGCTCCACTATAGTGCCCCTACTACCCTTCAGGGCACTGCGATCCCTCCTATTTCCACCGCTCAAGCCATCACTATATTGATGACGATATTTTTCACAGCTACCTAGACTACCTCGCCGAGCTTCCACCTGAGTCATCACCACTAAGGTACTAGGAGAGAAAACTCTTCATCTCACGTGGGGCCCTCCAGGGGTTCTCTGACCATTCTGCCAGGGGTCCCGCGAAGGCAGGCCACCGTGCTGATGGCGATTCAAGGCTCTATTGGATGGGGTACACTGTTGCCGATACCGACACTGTGAGAACAGTGGGGCTCAGCTGAGGTGTCCAGGACTTACAGGAGTCTTAGGAGGAATGACTGGTGACTGTCGTGCACCGTGGGAAGGGCAGTGCCCATAATGAGGATGGTAACCCCGTTGGCCCTCACTATCTGAATCGGCAAAGTCCCCGGCGTGCTCTGATGGTCATGCTCACTTGGAACTCCATCGTGGCCACCTAGAGGGGTTCCTATGTGGGCGATAGATGAAGGGTCGGGGGAAATCGGCGGTAGGTAGAACTTAAAGGGGAAAAAATATGATCGGCTAAGGGCAGCGGGGAGTACCTCATCCTGTGGGGATATTATAATGGAAGTAGAAGGCAGTGGTGGACCGAAGGGCTCCAACTCCAGGGGTCTGTGATGGTGCGGCTTGACACAGTGGCGTCGTATCACCTGCGGGAGTCGAGACTAGCAGTAGAGAGCTTAGGTGTTGTTTACTTTATCAACTGCCCGCCTTTGCGACTCCTCAGTGCTACCACGATGCCTAAGACGATTCTTGGAGGCCGCCGGCTCGGATGGCCGCGCTGGGGCTAGAGAGGCTTTAGTTCGGTGAGGGATGGTATCATAGGGGACTTCATTACAAGTCATTGTATAATAAACTTAAGTGCAAACCCGAGCCCTGTCGCAGGTCCCCGGTCAAACCTGGTCAACTCGACTTGACCTGTAGTCGTCCAACTGCCATCCTCATACAGCTGAGGATTGCATATAGAAGATGCATTGGAAAGTACCAGGTGGCGAAGAGCTGGCAAGTAGTAGAGGATTAAGCCTTGCCGTTGATAACAGTTATGACCGATAAGAACCAACAACATCAAAGTGAGATGTATAATTCTAAGTACGGCTCTCAGAGTTCGCCATGTCGGGAAGTAGATTTCGATGACAATCGTATCACGCTGCGCTGTTATAGTGAAAAAATTACGATTTCGGAAATATTCACCCATAATCGGCGCAGTTTCATCGTCTATAGACAACGACGGATGGACGAGCTTGCCAGGGGCCATCGCCCCTTCAGAAGTCACTTACAGGTAGTCTACACCTCCTATCGACTGCGAGTGCCTAAGGGGGACCAGTACCAGCAAGCATCGTATCTCGCTCGCCCCTAGCCTCGTCCTGTCCTAACGCGTACGTACATCGACAGCAGCGCAACTGGTCCGTGGTACCCTACGGCTCGTTATCATGACAAAGAGTGCGGTTGAACTTTGGTGTGAGCAAGATCCCGATTGCGATACCATCAAGGAAGCTCAGAGCCTCGACGATGAAGCTGTTGCCGCTCGTCTAGACCCTAACCATCGTCTACAGTTCGGCACTGCAGGTTTACGTGGGGTGATGGGCGCTGGCTATGACCGTATGAATTGCCTTACGGTCATGCAAGCCTCTCAAGGCCTCTGTATGCACTGTATAAAGAAGTACGGGCAGCAGGCCCTTAGTGAGCGAGGGGTGGTCTTCGGCTTTGATGGACGTCACAAGTCTCGAGCCTTTGCCCATGTTGCTTCGGCTGTTTTCCTTTCTAAAGGAGCCAAAGTCTATCTCATCGACAAGACCAGCATAACACCATCAAATCCTTTCCTCATCGTCCGCTTCCAAGCACTCTGTGGTGGACAAATGACGGCTTCCCACAACCCCAAGGAGTACAACGGCTATAAAGTGTATGGCGCCAATGGAGCCCAGATTATTCCTCCAGCAGACTCGGAGATTCAAGCTAACATCATGGCGAATCTCAAGCCGTGGCCAGAGGCTTTGCAGCTGCTAGGCCCCGACTGTCTCCTTAAGGACAAGTCCAAGACGGTGGACCCCTACGATGTGGTCCTCTACACTTACATTGACCAGATCATCACGAACTGTGTCGCTTCCCTGAGCTCAATAAGAAGTGTGAGCTGAAGTTCGTCTACACTGC